ATCAAGCTATACCACTATTAGGCCTATGTTCCACTCCTACTCTCCCACAAAATCGAAAAATGAAAGGACCTACATGCATAAAAATATTTATAGCAACTCTTTTCTTGGTAGCCCCAGACTGGAAACTAAGGGAGCGTTCTACTGGGGAATGGCCAAACAAATTGTGGTATATGAATGGAATGGAATATTATAATGCCACAAGCAGGGACAAAAAATGAACAATTTCAGAGGAAACTAGGAAGAAGCTGAGTGGATCATGGAGAAATAAGTTTACAATTTATACCACATAACATTGTGAAGAAAAACAACCTTGAAAGAGTTTAGAATTCTGATAAGCCACAATTTCAAAAGAACGATGAAACATGCCACTCACATTCTGCTAGAGAGTGATAGACTTAAAAATGCAGGAAGAAACATACATTTCTGGAGGGGGCCAATGTGGGAATTTATTTTGCTGAATTATTAAATATTTTTTGTGAGTTGTTTGCCTATTTATTTAATTAACGTTCAATTGAGCAGTGAGGGGAGCAGTGTGAGGGAGAGATTTTTTTATTGCAGAATCTGAAACACCCCCCTCTATCAAGCAACTTTTGGATCAGACAGAATGGCCTTTATCCAGAGTTTGGAGGTCATGCAGGTTTGGCCTCATGCCTCGGTCCCATCTGAATGGCTTTATCAGGACATAATCTGGACCTATCTGGTAGAGATAGTATGGTGGTAAGAAAACTCTTCCCAAGCAGGTTAGGACTTGCTAATGAATGACTAGGAGGTCCATTATGAATACTGTGCTGGGAAATAATTGACTGAAACACATTTAACACTTGTGAGGAATTAGAAAATCAGAAGCTATAATAAGGCAAGATATAGAGGTATCTCCTAAAGAGACAGTTAGAAAAAGCAGTCCTCAGTGGCTGGGTCTTCCTATGTGAACAAGTTGGATTGTGAAAATATTTGAAAGATAAGTTCCCTTTTATAAAGCTCCAGGAAAGAAATAGCAACCTCATTTCCAAAAGAACTTGATTAGAGGAGAGGTGACTCATCTTCTTTGGGTGTCCGAGACCCCTTGGGCAGTCTGATAAAGCCTTTGAGATGCTTCTCAAAATGCTAAAAATAAAGATTTTCCTGCTCTAATTCATGAGTTTGTGCCAGCAGGGGTGGGGAACCCTGCGACCTCTAGGCCACATGTGGCCCTCTAAGTCCTCAAGTGGGGCCCTTTGACTGAATCCTAACTTCACAGGAGAAATCTCTTTAATAAAAGGATTTGTTCTATAAAACTTGGACTCAATCAAAAAGCCACACCCAAGGATCTAGAAGGCCACATATGGCCTCGAGGCTGCAGGTTCCAAAAGGATTCAGGTTAGGCACAAATACGAATTCTGTAGAGTCATTTAAATCACATATTAATAAGCTTGTTTTGGACTCACAGAATGAATCAGATATATTCTTTCATAATAATAGTGATTGAATCACCATAGTCTAAAATAGCCTGTGTAGCATTCAGAAAATGGAGGTCTATAGAACAAAGAGGCTACATTCTCAAATACTCAAATGACTCTGTGCCCTCATGCTGTGGCTATTCCCCACCAGTCAAGATCCCCACCCATCTCTGTCCACCATCTTGTCCATGTCCTTGGATGAGATCAACATATAAGGTCAAACAACATGCTAGGGAGTCCTTCCTCAATTTCTCTGGACATTTCAAGGATACCGATCCAGCACTCACTTAACCAGCCCATTTTCTTTTTTACTCACACATATGTGGAAAAAGTTTTCTCATTTGGAAGCAAGAACCTAGGTTTACTCCCTGGTTCTGTCACTTGTTGAAAAAGGGAAGGGAGAGGGAGGGAGAATGGAAGAGGAAAAGAGGGAAAGGGAGAGAAAGAGAGGGAGAAGAGAGAGAGAAAGAGGGAGAGAAGGAAAGGGAGAGGGAGATAGAAAGAGGAGAAAGGGAGAGAGGGGGAAGGGAAAGGAAGGGGGAGACAGAGAGGGAAAGAAAGAAGGAGTGGGAGAAAAAGGGGGGGAAAGGAGAAGAGAGAGGAAAAGGGAGAGAGATATAAGAGGGAAAACAAAAATTCAAGGATTTTAGAGCTGGAAAATTAGATAACCCTAGTCCAATTCCAGCCATTTATGGATGGCAGGTCTGAAACCCAGAGAATATGGCTTGCCCTAGGTGATGTATCTAGTTAGTGACAGAACTAGAATTAATCAGTTCTCCTTATTAACAGATCATTGCTTTAAAAAAAAGAAGTTTCACATAGGAAGAAAAATTGAGTGTCTTTTAATGAGAGCACTTAGAATCTTAGATTCCAGGTGTACCTTCTAGCTATTCTGAGATTTGTGCTAGGCAGCAAAATAAATGATGGATGTTATTAGCACACTCTCCAAATGCAGTTGAGAGTAATAATGGTAACTGACATTTATATAGTGTTTTAAGGTTTGTGAAATCCTGTAGGCTGATCAGCTCAGAAGAGTGATCCTATGATAACACCTATTTTATGAATGATGACATTGAGATTGGGTGATCTGGGACAAGTCACTTCACCATCTTCCTTTCCTTATCTGTATGTAAGGGTGGGGTTGACTGATTAATTTAATCAAGTCATCCCATCCCATTTAAAATAAGTGATAAGACGACCAGTTGCCTGAACCAAGGGGAAAACAATCGATCAATCAATCTTAATCCTAGGTTGTAATTTTTAAGAGTAGAAGATACTTGAAACTGGAATGGTGTTACACCCAGAAGAAAGTTCAGTTAAAATGGGGAAACTTGGTTACATCCTAGGAGCTGGCTATTCACTACCAAGCTAGTTAGAACTAGAGTCAGTTAGGGGCAGCTAGGTGATGCAGTGGATAGAGCACTGGCCCTGAAGTCAGGAGGACCTAAGTTCAAATTTGGCCTCAGACCAAACACTTAACACTTACTAGCTGTGTGACCCTGGGCAAGTCACTTAACCTCAATTGCCTAAAAAAAAAAAGGAGTCAGTTGTGAGATTGGATTTAGTGTGGCCTTCTAGTAAAGCCTCCAGGAGGAATCACCTGGCAAGGAGAGGAGAAGGAGAGGCCTTAGCTTCAGGCTTAATGAAGTCTTGTACCATGAACCACCTTGGGCTAGAACACAACCTTTCAGTCTTGAAGGGTCCAGAAGATATTGGACTCAACATCTTCCTGCTGATGTCCTAGCAGCACATCCACATTAGCTGATAGAATTGTCTGCATTTGGAGTCAAGCACAGACTTGGTATAGAATCATAGCTCCCCAAAGAGTCCAGGAAAGAAACTACACCATGCCTTGGGGTACCTTCTTGACTACATCTAAATAGGAGAAAAGGACTTGTCGTAACCAGGAACTGTGTTGACACATGTATTCAACAAACTGGAGTCTATTTTCCCTTGGATTCTGTATGTACTTGTGGGACAGTGTGCCGCAGACTTTTGGGAGGGCGTTTTATACCAACTGTTCTTACTGTTACCACAACAATAAATACCTCTTTTTAAAAGTGACTTAAGGCTGACTAATTCTTAAGTGATATTATTGGGAGAACACACTGGTGGAGGCTCAGGCTGATAACCTTGAGAATCACCTCCTATCTTCTCAGGGACTTTGAAAGGGAGCCTTGCTCTAGAACCCAAGACTCATCTGTGAGAGTTGGAGTTGAGATAAGTACCATGGAATGTTCTCCCTCTTCTACTCTGACTACTGACCTCCTGGCTTCCTTTAAGACCCAACTAAGATCTAGTGCTTTCTCTCTGTTGATGATTTCCGATTTATCCTGTCTAGAGCTTGCTTCGTATATATTTGTTTGTATGTTGTCTCTCCCATTAAATTGTGAGCTCCTTGAGGGCAGGGACTGTCTTTTGCCTTTTTTTTTTTTGTATCCCTAGTGTTTAGCACAGCACCTGGCATATAATTGTTGTTATTTGTCCTTCGTTTTTGAAGAGGACCAATGACATCATGGGCTGATGTCTTGACTTGTGTGTGAATTGGATTTACATGAGGCAGAGCTGCACAAAGTCATCAGCCTTACTCTGTCTTCCAGAGTCATTGAAGTCGAATGGCAAGACAAAAGTAGAAAAACCTGGCAATGGCCCAGGATACAATGAATGACCTTGGTGTCTTCGCTGCCCAATCAAGCTCTCAGCACTCCACAATACCTGCTTTGGCTGCCTTTCGGGCCGTTGGAACAAATTGTTCTCATTTGCCCATTCCACTGGGGGGGGGAGCCTTCACGTGTTTGGGGTAGACACCCCCCTAACTCACCAATGAGTCTGAGGCCTGTTGATTGCTCTCAATCTGGTTTGTGGTTCCTGCACTTGCTACAGGTTGAGGGACAGAAGAGATACCAAAGGTGGATGAGCAGCCCTGAAAAGGGGTTGGCAAGCCCTCACACCAGAGGTGCCAGTCCTCCATGAACACCCCATACACCCCCTGGCGTGTAACAGACATTAATCAATGTTTCTTGAGTGAGTGAGTAGTAGGATACCATCACTATGGCCCTAGGTTCCTGAGTCTGACAGCAAACATGGAATCATCGTTCAAATCCTGTCTCAGCCACTACCAACTATATGGTCCTGGGCAAACGATGCAACCTTCCTCAACCTCAGTTTTCACATCTGTAAAATGAGTGTACGAATAACTGCAATCTTTCCTTCATGAGCTTGTTGCCAGGCTCCCATGAGATGATGTATGCAAAGTATTCTGCCTACCTTATAAAACCACAGCTGTGTCAGCTCTTATCATTTGTTCCAATAGAGACGTAGGTATAGACAGAGATAGAGATGTGTGTGTTTGGTTTATATATAGTGAGTTCATCATAATTAATGCAGACTTCTTCCTTCATCAGGGGCTTGTCATATAGAGCGGCTGTCAGTGTGATCTTTGACAATTGGACCAGACTTCCTATTTAGGAAATAAGATGTTTATTCTTGTATTTTGAGATGCATGGTAAGCCTGAAAATACTTCTTCTATTTTCTAACTTGTTACTGCTTCATTCACTCTTCAGCGTTCTGCTCTACTGAGGCCCTGTGGCTAGGAAGGATTCGGACCCTGCCCTGGGTGGTTGTAGCTGTCTCAGCTGGGCTCCAGTATTGGCCTTTGCAGCTGATGAGTGAGAAGGTGAGCCTGTTCCCTTCAAGAGGCTGAATCAGAAGGTTTCTTTCTTCTCCAGAGTTTATCTCTGTCTCTTGGTCCAGAAGGTTTTCATAACTAGTCTTGAATTCAGTAGCAATATTTCCACTTCAGCTGAGCTGAAGGATTCACCTGGGTAATTATGGTATGTGTGTGTGTGTGTGTGTGTGTGTGTGTGTGTGTGTGTGTGTGTGTGTGTGTGTGTGTGTTGGGGATGGTGGGGAAGGAGCAGTATTCAATTCTGCTTTTCTGATGGCTCATTCAAAACTCCTGGTCTCTCTTGGAGCAAATGCTATTGGCTTAATATCACCTTAGCAGCCAGCTCTTGAGGATGAGGGGGGCCTCACTCACCTGCTGTATGTGAGTGCAGTGTTTACTCATCCAAATAGTAACATAAAAGTCAGATCCCAGAGGTGCAGTCACTGTACCATGGTTGGGGCCCCATAAAAATAAACACCATTGTTTTTATACACACATTTTAAGTAGATCCGTGTGGGTGGAAGGACTCAATAATTATGTTTATTTTAGGTGGGTTGCTATTATTAAATTTCTAAATCTAGTCATCTCTGCTTTTAAAAAAAATGATAAATTACATTATAAAAGAGTTTCAAATAATAAGGACTGATTTATGGAGTAATGGCCACTATGATTTATTCAGCATTTGTTGAAAAAGAGAAGGGCTTTGCATCCTTCCAGGGCTCAGCTTTCCTTTTGGAATGTGATGAGGGTCTAACTCAAAGGCAAAAAACAAATTGAATTTTCCACTATTAGAATAAATTTTTTTTTCCTTTTAGGCAATTGGGGTTAAGTGACTTGCCCAGGGTCTCTAGTAAGTGTCAAGTGGTCAGTCTGAGGCCGGACTTGAACTCAGGTTCTCCCGACTTCAGGGCTGGTGCTCTATCTACTGTGCCACCTAGCTGCCCCTAGAATAAAATTATTCTGTTTATGCACCAGATTCTTCTTTTTCAATGGTGAATTGAACATATTTTAAAAGTCTCTGCTTCTTGTTTTTTGTGTTCAGGGCTCCCATTATCTGAGTCCCACCCTAAGAAAATAGCCTTACTTTCTTCATAGTTCATGTAATTCAAACACTAGCCATATGCTCATAAATTAGACATAGAAGCCGCCTATTTCAACCCTCTTAATTTTACAGATGAGGGCCATTGGATCTAGATGGCTCTGGAGGAGAGAGTGAGGCTGGTGACTTTACTCAGCTCGCCCTCACTTAAGTCCAGCCCACTTACATGTCACGGCATCACCTCCCTGAAGTCACGGTCCTCTTTGAGAACGAAAGACAAACAACAACAAATGAGTCTGCTGATTAAATGACTTCCCCAGGGTTACAAAGTCAAGATTTGAACACAGGTCCTTTGATTACTGCATCACTTGAATAAAGCCCATTTTCATCCTGTCCTCAACAAACTTCATGTGTATTTCTCCCTCTTCCTTCTTTCCTTCCTTCCTCCCTTCATTTGACTCCTGCTCAAGCATATGAAGACATATGGTGTTATGGAAAGAACATAGGATCCAGCATCAGAGAACTTTATTCAGATCCTGCCTCTGCCACTTGCTATAGGTGTGACTTTGAACAAGCCATTGCTTCTTTCTAAGCTTCAGTTTCCTCATCTGTAAAATGAGGGAGATAGAAGTGATGATCCCTAAGGTCCCTCTCTTCTAGCTCTAAAGCAAGGAATGATCTGATGATTCCTCTCCTTGTTCTAATTTATCAAGCACTTAATACGTAGAAGGTATTGTGCCAGGCAACTTATAAAGAGAAGTGAATGCAATATACTAAAAAGTGGAGGGAGCACCAATAAATGGGGTAAGTGATCAGGAAAAGCTTAGGAGGGGGGGAGCATTGGAGTAAGCTAAGTGACTTTTGGTTCTTTTTTTCTTTGTTTTTTTTCTATTCTCTCTTTGTTTTATGTTATCATTGTATATACTGTTTTTTCTGGTTCTGCTATCTTCATTTTGCATCGGTTCGTTTAAGTGTTCCCATGTTTCTCTATATTCATAATCCTATTCAATTCCACAGTCATTTCTGGACCAGGCTGCCTTCATTCCCACCACCCTCCTCAAATCCCTCCCACTGGAACCAATTGGACTTCTTTACCCTTTGGGTCCCTGGGCTCTGCTAGATGAACTTTCACTTCATCTGCCCCAAACCTGGCTTCCACTTGACTTCTTGGCTTTTTCTAGGTTATGTTGTCAAGAATGTACAGCCTTCCCGCTTGTTTTAGCTCCCCTTCATATATTATCTTTTCCCATTAGAACTGAAGCTCTTGGAGGGCAGGGACTGTCTTGCTTGTTTGCATTTGTAATTCCAGTGTTTAACACAGTACCTGAAATATACTAAACATTTAATCAATGTTTTTTCAATCATTCATTCAGTAATGGATCTTACTGAAGAAGCATAGTGGGAAGAGAAATATATTAGAAGTAAGAGGACCTGGATTCAAAATCCAGGTCAGTCCCTTAGCTACTTAATCTCTGGGCCTCTCTGGAGTGATCTATAAATTCCATTCATCTCTCCATTCATGCGATAATTTATTTAGTCATTCCTCAGTAGATGGCCATCAGCTTTGTTTTCAATTCTTTTCTACTACAAAGTGAGTGGTTACAAATATTTCAGCATATTTAAGGCCTTTCTTTTTATCTTTGACCTCCTTGGGGTGACTGTGTTGTATCTCCTCTGAGTTACTCCCACCAAGTTATACTAACACTCATTCATTCATTTTTCCAAATGGCTGTATTCCTCTTGACTTCTCCATCAAGCCCCAGGAAAATATTCATCCTGATCAGGTCACCTTGTAAGCAGCTTCTGTCCTTCTACCCTTCCTTCCTTCTGATTGGAGGACTGAGACCTTTTCTCCTACAACCTTCATTTTAGGATGAATCATTTTCTAGACATGTCTGGACTCCATTTGGGCTTTTTTTTTAGCAAAGATACTAGAGTGGTTGGCCATTTCCTTTTCCAGCTCATTTTATGAATGAGAAACTGAGGCAAACAGAGGTTAAGTGACTTGCCTAGGGTCACACAGCTATTAAGTGTATGAGGCCAGATTTGAACTCTCAAAAAGGAATCTTTCTGACAACTCTAAGCCTAGTGCTTATCTGCTGTACCTCCCAGCTACCCTCCATTTTAGAAGGGAGCTAAAGTTAGCTGTCCTTTCATTTCCTACTTGGCTGTACTTTTCTGAACTTCTTCATCATATACCCTCACTAGTACCTTTCCACCTTCCTCTTCCTGCTTTTTGTACTTTCTTTTGTACTTTATCTTCTCCAATTTGACTATAAGCTCCTTGAGGGCATGGAATGTGGTTTTTGCCTTTCTCTGTATCTCCAGTGCTTAGCATAGTGCCTGGCATTTAGTTTAAGCCTAATAATAATAATAACAATAATAATAATAATATAGTGACTGACTGGCTGACTGGTTGGGTATCCAGGGATATTCCTACTACTCAAAGTCCTCAACCCTTATTGATTTTTTGTTTGTTTGTTTGTTTTAAAGTATTTATTCATTTATTTATTTTTTAGTTTTCAACATTCACTTCCATAACATTTTGAGTTTTAAATTTTCTCCCCCTCCTTCTTCTCCCCCCTCCCCAGGACAGCATGCAATCTGATATTGGCTCTATTTATAAGTTCATATTAAGCATATTTCCCATTAGTCATGATATGAAGAAGGATTAATGACGGGGTTGGGATCTGGGACAGATGTTCTAATAAATCTTGTCTTTGGCTGAAAGAAGGCTTGGGTCGAATTCTTTCAGACAGGACCTGCATGTTGTGATTTTGGAGTCCCAGGACCCCTGAACCCCTAAACCACATCATTTTGGTACCCCATATGGGGAAACTGTCTAACCCCAAGTTCTTCTCCAGCCAAAACTTGAAGGTATGTAAGCCTCCCCTCCCTCCTTTCTTGCTCTGCAGTTGGGGTCACTTTCCAAGCACCAAGGCTTGGAGGCGCTTTTTGGGCAGACAGTTACAAGGCTGTTTCTCATTTGGCCTGATGCTCTCATGCTCTTGGTCCACTGGGTTGGTTGAAGGCTATGGACCTGGGTACACCTTCCACAGCATAGAGGACAACGACAGACTCCGTATCCAGAAGTGTATGCTCAATTCTGTTAATTCCCTCAGTGCTAGGGAATTGGGGAAAACTGCAGTTGCTTTTTGGTTCCCTGAGGCTTACTTACTCCCTTCCCTCTGCACCTCTGAATCCTCCTTCATGGAGGTTACAGGGAAAGGTAGAACAGCTAAAAATGTCTTGGCAGATTCTGAAGGTTTTGTGATTGATTATTTTGAAACTCCTGATTACAATCCTGATCACTCCTTTCTCCCATTCCCTTCCCTTGAATCAAGAGGGTATCTGTTAACCCCTCCTATAAAAGAAGAGAGTTTTACCCTTTACCCCTCACCTTTCATTTTGCCCTCCCCTACCTGGGAAAGGAAGGAAGGAGGGAGGAGGGGCAGCAGCTACAGCATGGGCCCCACTGGCAATGAACTTGGGCCCTGGGGCAGCTTTTGCCTGAAAACATCACTGCTCAAGGTAATGAAGCTAGCCTCCAAACTTGGGTAAGCACACTCTTTTAAATTTGTAGTTTTAACTGTTAATGATGAGATGTTGACTCTCTGTTTAAAGTAATTTGGAAGTGCATTTAACAAAACTGAAGTCACCTGATTGGTGATGGGTTTGTTCCAAGTTTCAAATTGATGAACTTAACTTTCTGTATCAGTTATGTCAAACAACTTTTCATCATTTGGTCACTGCTAAAATAATTTAGCTATTGTTGGTTATTGTTTTAATGTGTAAACTAGCCAAAAAGTTTGTTTGGGTTATGTATGGCTTGCTGAGAATTTGCAAGTGTACAGAAATCTCTAATGATTGGCTTTTTACACCAGGACAAATTTAAGTTTGACATGTAAATCCTGGAAAAATGTTTCCTAAGCTGTGATTAGTAAAACTTGCTGCTTAAGGTAAAAGCTCATAGGATTTTATTTTGAGTTGTCTGATAGGTCATAATCCATCAATAATCAATACTCCACCATCTGAGAGAAATGCCATAAGCTACTCAGAGAAGGTGATACTGGTGGAAAGTCCTTTGAAAGGGAATGTTACCCACCTGGTTATTCTGAGTCTGGCTATGAGGTGGATTTGATACTGCATGGTTGGAAAACTGAATTATCTGAATCCAAACAGAGCTAAGGCCTCTCAAAGTTGGGCCCTAAATCTAGTCCCTGCTTTATATCTTGGCCCTGCAGTTTTTTCTGTCAGATGTGTGTCTTCCAGACTATGGGCCGCTCACCTACAGTTGGTAGCAAACAGCGAGAACCAGCCAATGTTCACACATTGTTCTCTGGATGCAGGATGTGCTCAGCTCCAGTCAACCTCCTCTTTGGGACCTCCTCAAGGCAGGGACAGCTCTACATGCCTTGCCAGCAGGAAGCAGTTTCATAAGCTGAGACCTTCGCCCCTTACTCCAAAAGAATTTGGGTCACATTTGTTTGAGGGGGGAATGATGGGGTTGGGATCTGGGATGGATGTTCTAATAAACCTTGTCTTTGGCTGAAAGAAGGCTCAAATTCTTTTGGGCAGGACCTGCATGTTGCAATTTTGGGGTCCCAGGACCCCTGAACACCTAAACTGCATCATTAGAACTGATGGGAGAACCACGAGAATGAAGCAATAAAGCAAAACAACAAAAGAAAAGGAGAGCAAATAGTACGCTTCCATTTGCATTCAGACTCCAAAGTTCTTTCTCTGGATGTGGATAGCATTTTTCATCATGAGTCTTTTGGAGTTGTCTTAGATTCTCACATTGTTGAGAAGAGCCAAGTCTATCTAAGTCAGTCATTGCACAATGTGGCTGTTATTGTGTATAATATTCTCCTGATTCTTCTCATTTCACTCAGCATCAGTTCATATAAGTCTTTCCAGGTTTTTCTGAAGTCTCCCTGCTCATTATTTCTTATAGCACAATAGTATTCCATTACATTCATATACCACAACTTGTTCAGCTATTCCTCAATTGATGGGCATCACCTCAATTTGCAATTTTTTGCCACCACAAAAAGAGCTCAGCCCTTATCGTTGAGTTGACATTAATAATCAGACAGTAGACTAAATTAAGGGCAGCTACGTGGTGTCATAGTGGCTAGAGCGCCTGGTCTGGAGTCAGGAAGACTTATCTTCTTAAGTTCAAATCTAGCCTCAGACATTTACTAGCTGTATGACTCTGGGCAAGTCACTTAACCCTGGTTGCTTCAGTTTTCTCATCTGTAAAATCATCTGGAGAAGCGAATGGCAAACCGCACCAGTATCTCTGTCAAGAGAACTCCAAATGGGGTCAAGAAAGATCAGATACAACTGAACAACAGACTAAATTAAATTTTAGGTGGAAAAAAAACATTTTCTAGGGTGATATAACAAGAGCACTGCTTAAAAAAACACTCTTCTCCCCCTAAAAAGAAGGTTGGGGTACACTTTCCAAAAATGCATACATGTGGTAGGAATTTGGCCATCTCTGGAGAGGTAATATACCTCACCGACCTAGTAAGAGTAGATGTGTGCTTATACTTATGTTGTTGTTGAATCATTTCAGCTGTGTCCCGTTCTGCATCTGTCTGTGTGCGTCTCTCTGGAGGCGAACACTTCCCCTGTCATCAGTCCACTCTGTGGACCCTCTAGCTGCTGCCACCATTATTTCCAATAGCTGATGAGTTTCCCAGAGCCTCTGAATCTTCCTAACTCACAAAGTACAAGATCCTCAGGATATATCCATCTCAAGGGTGCTGCTCAATAACTTACTCAGATAAGAAAACACCAAACAGCAGAGATGGCCATGTGCTCACAGCTATATACATATGGGAGACAGGGCAGAGCCCTCCCTCCCCCACTTGACTCTGGGGACTAGCTTCCAGCAAGAAAAGAAATTATAAAAACCTAGGAGCTTGATTTTGTATAACAACTCTTTTGTTTCAGCAGCCAATTAGAAATACTCTTCATCATCACACAATGTAAGCCCCCTGAATGTGGCTGGAAGTAGGCTCACCCAAACTTCCACATGGTGGTCTGGAACCAGGCATCAAGTGTCTAGATGTGCTCCAAGGAATGCCTCCTAAAAGCAAGTTCACCCAAATTACATATGCCTAACAATGGAATCTCTGGGTCAAAAAATACAGATGTTTTAGTAATTTTCTTAGCATAATTCTAAATTAGAAAGAAAAGGATTATATGAAGAAAATGCATTCAGAGCCTACTTAGTTCAACTCTTCCACTTGGAATGCAGAGGCAGATAGGTATGGTGGATATAATATTGGACTTGGAGTCAGAAAAACTTGAGTTTGAATCCTGCATCACATACTGACTAAATATGTCAGTTAACTTTAATATTTTTTAAGTGACTATTGTGTGCCAGGCATGTAACAAAAGGCAAAAGACAGTCCCTGACCTTGAGGAGCCCACAGTCTAATGGAAGAGACAACTTGCAAACACTATATACACTATTTACAGACAAGGATACATTGGAGTAATCAACAGAGGAAAGGCATTCATTTGAGGGGTATCCGGGAAGGCTTCTTGTGGAAGATGGGACATTATCTGGGACTTGAAGGAAGCCGGGAAAGCCTAAAGGCAGAGATGAGGAGCAAGAGAATTCCAGGCATGAGAAATAGTCAATTAAAACTTTCAGAATTGGAAAATGGAGTCTTGGGTGTAACACAAAAAGACCCATGTCAATGGATCACAGAATATGTGGAGATGAATAAAGGATAAGAAGGTTAGAAAGGTAGAAGAGGGTCAGGTTCTGAAAGGTTTTGATGCCAAGCTGAGGATTTTATATTTGATCCTGGAGAAAACAGGCAACCACTAGAGTTTATAGAAAAAGGGTCAGACCTGCACTTCAGGAAGATTGATTTGACAGCTGAGTTGAGGATGGATTGGAATGGGGAGAGACCTGAGGCAGGAAGACCAACCAGCTGGCTGTTTCAATAGTCTAGGCATGAAGTGATGAGGGTCTGCATCAAGGTGATGTTAGCATTAGAGGAAAGAAGGGAGAGTATGCAAGAAATGTCATGAAAGGACCAACAGGACTTGAAAATTGGATATGGGGGATGAAAGAGGGAGAAATCAAGGATGACTCCTAGACTGAGTGAGTGGGGGGATGGTGGTACCCATAACAGTAATAGGGATATTAGGAAGGGAAGGGAGTCTAGAGGAAAAGATTATGAGTTTATTTTTAGATAAGTTGAGTTTAAGATGTCTACAGGACACCCAGTTCAAGATGTCCACTAGATAACTGGAGATGAGAAACTGGAGGCCAGGAAGTAGGTTGCTGTCGTCTGACTCTTCATGATCCCATTTGGGGTTTTCTTGGCGGAGATACTGGAGTGGTTTGCCATTTCCTTCTCCAGCTCATTTTACAGATGAGGAAATAGAGGCAAATGGGGCTAAATGACTTGCCCCAGGTCACACAGCTAGTGTGTCTGAGGCCAAATTTGACCTCAGAAAGATGAGTTTTCCTGACTTCAGGCCCAAGTGCTCAGTCTACTGTACCATGCATTTGCCCCAGGCAGTAGGTTAGGCTTGGACAAGTAGATCTGACAGTCATCTGCATAGAGATAATAATTTAAACCATGAGAGCTGATGAGTTCATCAAGTAAAATACTATAGAGGAAGAGGGGGCTTTGCCAGTTGTCTTATCACTTGCCACTGGATTCCAATGACTCTGGAGGAGAGAGTGAGGCTGATGACTTTGCACAGCCCTGCCTCACTTAAACCCATTTCACTTGCAAGTCAAGACATCACCTTG